TAGATTTGTAGACCATGCCCGGTACCAAATACTGTTGACTTCCCATTTGTCCTTCACACTCTTCCAATCTCCTCATCTATATATAGACTGTAACCTGTTCTTCATTTTGGTCCAACATACAACTTTTACTCCTTTTATTTAACTTTCTTACAAAAAAAGTTTGTTCCCTTTTATTTATTTGCCTATATATTTCAACAAACCATTCTTGCAAATCACTCTACTCATCGTACATTAATCCTCCACTTATTACGCACTACTATATAATTAAGTTTATTGATAATAATCATCGATTTCGATTTCGATCGATAATGGGAAGATCGCCTTGCTGTGACAAAAATACCCTCAAGAAAGGTCCATGGACCCCGGAAGAAGACGCGAAGCTCACGCACCACATTCAGATGCATGGCCCTGGAAATTGGAGAACCCTTCCTAAAATTGCTGGTAACTATTATTATTATTATTTCACTAAATTAAAAGAAGAAAAAAATATTTGATTTTTCTTAAATCTAATCATACAAATATATGTTATTACAGGTCTTGAAAGATGTGGGAAGAGTTGTCGGCTTCGTTGGACTAATTATCTAAGGCCAGATATCAAGAGAGGAAGATTTTCTTTTGAGGAAGAGGAAACCATAATCCAACTCCATAGTGTTCTTGGCAACAAGTAATTATATTTTACTATAATTAATTAATTTTCATACATCATTCATAAATTAAAAATAAATATACTAAATAATTTTTATTTATTTTTAATTAATAATCAGGTGGTCTGCAATCGCGGCACGTTTGCCAGGAAGAACGGATAACGAAATAAAGAATTACTGGAACACACACATTAGAAAGAGGCTCCTACGAATGGGAATCGACCCGGTGACTCATGCCCCTCGTCTCGACCTATTAGACCTTTCATCGCTTCTCGTTAATTCGCCTCAACTCAATAATTTATCGAATCTTATTTGCCTCCAAACAATTATGAATCCAGAAGCACTAAGAGTTGCTCTTACTCTTATTTCACCACAAAATGAAAACCAATTATTAAATTATCAGAATCAGCATCAGCATCAGTTTCAGAATCAGGCTCCATCAGTTATCCAGCCTAATCAGTCGTCGTTTGATAATATTATCACCCAACAAATCCCATCAAATAATCCCACCACTTCTTCATTCAACAATCAGTCTCAATCCTTGCAAGGTGATTATTTGAGCAGTAGCCCACATTTTCCTGTGGGCCCCACAAACTCAACCTACCAATTATTATTTCAAGATAATAATTGTGCAACTATTAATAATGCTCATAATAATAATAATAATGCAAGTACTAATGATCAAAGTCTTGACACTTATTTACCAATCTGCCATGGAATATCTGATCAAATGAAAGTGGATTTGTCGTCGTCGTCGCCTTCGGAGAATTTCGGATTCGATTCGGTTTTGTCTTCAACGCCTCTCTCTAGCCCGGCTCCTCCCAATACGACGAGCTCAGCCGTCGGCCTTACGATCAATGGCACCACAGAAGATGAGAGAGAAAGCTTTTGTAGTAACCTATTGAGGTTTGAAATTCCTGAGGGTTTTGATTATTTTGATGATTTCATGTAAGAAAAAGATTGAAAGTTGTTTTATTTATTTATTTTTTATTTTTATTTTTTTGATATAGGTTTACGTAGTTTGGATTTGTTATATAACTAGTTCTTAGTTGAATTCTTTTGTTATTATTATAAGGTTATGTATAAGATTCATATGGTGTTGTTTTTATGGTGTTAATTAATTGGATTTTATTTGTTTATTTATTCTTTTATATTGTAATTTAAAAAACTATAAAAGGGAAATTAAAAAAATAGAGGGAAGATGTAGAATTCCAAATATATGAACTAATTAATACCTCTACTATTTCACTTTTAATGGGATTTAATTTTCAAATAAAAGTTCAAAAAGTATATTTTTGTCGTGGTGTGCAATTTTTCTTGATAATTATTATCACGAAATGTAACTAGTACTAGGTATGTGTCTCCATGTTATTGGACGATTATTATCAATTGTGTATATAGTTTTATGTATTATTTTTTTTTTTTTTTTTTTTTTTTTTTTTTTTTTTGATAATGCAGGAACCCGCAGCCAACCATATAGGTGCACTGGGTAAACCTACACTCTCGTATAATAGCTTGCAAACCATACGAGAGATGTAAACCACACTAGGCTAACCATGTGTGACAAGCTCGACCTAGCGACCGTTGGCAAGGGGATTCGAACTTGGGTCAATTGACCCAAGCTCTCTTACTCCAACCGCTAGGCCACCCTTGCGGGTTAGTTTTATGTATTATTGGTTTTGTAGATGATGACATACACCCACTGATTTTAAAATCATAGATTTACACATAATAACAAACATTTGTATATATTTACAGTTTATATTCATTTGATTATTTTACTGGGTGTAACATTTTATAGACCTGCATTATTGCACAAATTATGAGAAATAGAGAATTTTTGGCCCCATTAGATGGTAAAATGGTACATGTTCAGAGGACGAGACGATATAATTGGCATTGTTCCTGCGACTCAACCGTTTTTTATACAAGTACTAATGTGAGTTGCGTGATATTTTAGGTTATCTTTAAAAACATAAGAACATATCCTTATACTATAATGAAATGTTAGATTCCATGTTTAAGGTTTCACGGTACATCTAGCATGAAATCAGAAACATGTTCTTATACAAAAGATTTTTTAATCAAAAACTTGGGGTTTAAAGTAAACATCATTTCGAATATGGCTCAATACTTTTGGAATGCCACCTCAACACTCGTCAGAAGAACATAATTAGCAGCACGTGAGAAGCACATGGGAGATCATTTTGTTAGTTTTGTCAGCTCTTAAAACATCGTGGAGGAGCTCACGATTGGTGGATTGCTTTCTCTCATCTGAAGTTGCTTGGGGCGCAAGCACCCTATATATACGAGCTAAAACATGATTTAGAGAGCTGAGTTGAGTGCGTGCTTGTACACGTGTGAAATATTTTGAGTGCGGAGAGATACAATTTTGTGGGAGTTTAGGCTTTCTGGCAGAATGTGAGTGCTTTTGTAAGCTCGTGTTTAATCTACTCTGTAATTGTGTACACATTGAGCTCTTCGTATAGAGGATTTGGAGTGAGTACTGCTCCCGGGGACATAGGATTTACACTTAATCCGTTGCATGTTTCTTTCTTATTCACTTGTTATTCTTCTATTGGTGTATGATTGTGCGTGCGAGCAGGAGGCTGGCCCTGTGGTGGGGCGAGCAGGGCCCACGCCCAGGCCCAATTTCATTGAGGGCCCAAATTTTCAAATTTTTAATATATATATTATTTATTTTTATGTGCAAAAATTGTTATATTGTTTAAAAAAATATTTTCTAATTTTTTAATGAAAATATTTTTACTCTTTTATTCTTTTTTATTTTTTTATAAATTTATTTTAAAAATAGATTTGAAATTTAATTTTTTTTTATATTCTAACATTTGCTTTACAGAGAAGTGTTTTATCTAGACATTAGTATTTTCAAACTTCTATTTATGAGGTTTATGTTAATAAATAATTTAATTATATTATTTCATTAAGCTTAAGATGCGGAAAAAGAAAATTCGGACGTCGTCCCCGAACTACCGAACTATTATATTATCTCCCCGAGCCCTCGAATACGCCGAACGAGCCCTTTGCGCGAGTCACAGTTTCGTTGATTGCCTAGCTTTACTTCTAAATTTATAACTCTATTCAACTCCATGTACCGAAAGTTTAGTTCGACGTGATCAAAATCAGATTAATTTAAAGGGGCTCTTTGATATAACTCATTCAATACTTCTTTTAATAGACAAAGGTCCAAACTATTTTGCACTATTTGAGAAAAACCCACTTCAAATTTCAATCACCCATTTTTCCATTTATGTCCCTCCACCTTACATCCCATGACCCATCAGCCCACTAATCCCATGAGTCATGACCGTGCCCTCTCTCTCTCTCTCTCTCTCTCTCTCTCTCTCTCTCTCTCTCTCTTAATATATTATTATTATTTTATTATTATTATTCTTATTAATTTATGCATTATTAATATTATTATTATTATTATTATTATTATTATTATTATTTTTTTTTTTTTTTAAATTATTTTTTTTCGTTTTTTAAACTTTTTTTCTTTATCAGGTATGTTAATCGACTATGATGAACTATAGTCGATTAAGAAACCGACTACTAAAAATAATAAATCACAACTACAAAAATGCAAACTAAACTATATTTTACAAAAAAAACAAATAATATACAAACATTATAATTGATTTCTACAATTGGAATCAATAAAACAAAAAAATTCAAAATAAAACTAAAAATTGAAGTCAATGAAGCATATTAATCGACTATGATGTGAAGCATAGTCGATTAAGAATCTGCTACTAAAAATAACAAATCCAACTGCAAAAAAAAAATACAAAATCAACTATATTACAAAAACAAAAAATATACAAATATTATAAATGATTTATACAATTGGAATCAATAAACAAAAAAAAAAAAAAAAAAATTGGAGTCGATCAACCTTAATCGATTGCCATAGCATAGTAAATTAGCTTAATCGACTATGAACATATCGATTAAGGTTTCAGCCTGCGCGAAATTCTCTACGGGCACCGTCCTCCGCTCGATCCACCAAAAAACCCTAAATCTGCCTCCCCATCGTCACCACACCGCCGCCACAACATACCATCACCACCTTACTTTGACATTATGACGGTTTTTTATTACAAATAAATAAGTAAAATCACAACACGCACCACCAACCAAAGCAGAATCACCACCCATCAAAATCCGATTCCGGCGACAAATCGACAATCTTATCTTTATTCGCCTCCGATGTAGCAATCCTGGTATTCGAATTCAGAATCGCTATCAAAATCATTTATAATGTTTGATGGGTGCTTCATATTCTTTCTTTCTCCATTTCTCGGCGGCGGCGGCGACAGTGGCGGAGAAGATTACCGGAGAAAACAGAGGAAAAAAAAAACAAAGAAGAAGAGAAAACAGAGAAGAAGAGAAAAGAGAGAAGAAGAGAAAAGCTGGAGCGTGAAAACGGCGGATGAAAAAAATAAAAATAAGATTAGGGTTTTGAAAGAGTATAATAGACAATTAATGGTAGTTTTGAAATTATAAAAATATCATATTAGCTAAGGGGGTTTTCTCTAATTATTTTTGGGAGAGGGTGTTTCCTTAACTCATTTTACTAGATAAGAGGGTTCTTGCTAATTATCCCTAATTTAAAATGCATTTGATAAATTTTAGATCCTTCATTGTTTTAATTTTTTTCTTGTTTATGTACATAAGTTAGATTTATAAGGCCCAAACAACATTAGATATATATCAGGTTTTGAAGGGCCCAACAATTTGCTTACGTTCTTTTAACATCTAAAGGGCCATAAAATGGCCTAATTATTTATACAGTTTAAGAGTCTCTTTTTTTTTTTTTTTTTTAATTATTATTTTTATTTCAATTTTGAAATTTGTGAAGCTTATTTAAATGATTTCTTAAGTTTCTAGATATTCACTTGAAAAAAAAAAAAAATGGAGGGCGCCACTTTAAGGGGGCACAATTTATAAATTATATCATGGCCTTCAAAATCTTTGAACGGACCCTGTAAACGAACATCGGGAGGTCATCTCTCCAAATTTCAGTGAACCGAAATTTCGATATCCGAGTTTCAAAATAATAAAAAATATGTGTTATTTACAATGAGTAACTTTTAGTATCTTTTTTGTTTCATTATATATATATATATATATATATATATATATATATATATATATATATATATATATATATTATTTTGAATTACAAATAAAAGAAAGGTGAAAAGAAGGTCGAGGGGACAAAAAAGTGGATGTGGCGAGTGTGTCACGAGCCAACTGAAAAATTAATCTTTCACATCATCATCATTTCATTTGATTACACACAAAAGAAACTGAGAAGCTGAATCAGAAGAATAAAATTTAAATGAAAAAATAAAAATTATTATTAGAAGAATAAATAAATGAAGAAAAAGAAAAGGACAGCATATAAGCAGCCAAATTCCAGACAGCCTTTCCTTTTTCATTTTCGTCTTTCTCTTTGATTCCCTCTACTTTCTCTCTCAACCCAACCCCACCAATTTTTCTTGCCCTTCCTAATTATACCACAAAATCCCACTTTCTTCAATTATTATATAATAATAATAATTTAATTGTTACTAGAATAACGGTAATTTTAAATGTTGGAATGGAAAATATTTTTTCAGAAATCGAAAATATTCCGCTCGAAATAGGCTGAATTTGAAATTTACTTCTAATTTCCACCACTATGTTGTTATAGGCAATTATTTTTGAATAAAATTAGGGAAAATTACGGCCAACCCTGATGTATGGTCAAATTACGAAAAAACTCCTCTTATTTGGGTAATTAAAGCCACCCCCTCCTTTTAAATATTTTTACGTAAAATTTATGTAATTCGGTTATTTACCAAACCAAATCGTATATTTAGTTCGGTAAACGGTATGCAATGTTGGCGTACCGAAAGTTTGGTCCAGTTTTACCGAATTAACATCCCTAAATTTACCTCTGGAGGGGTATTTTCGTAAGATAAATACATAATTGAGGGGTGACTGTAATTACCCAAACATGAGGGGGTTTTTCGTAATTTGACCATAGCTCAGGGGTGGCCGTAATTTGCCCATAAAATTAACATGTTAGGTTGCATAAAATAAAGGCTAAAATTCAGTTTGCACCCCTATATTATGCGAAATATATCATTTATCTCCTGATGTAAAGAAAACATCAAACGCCTCCATGTTGGTAGCATTTATCATTTTAGATAGTTATTTTCACTCTTTTCAGCCTTTTTTTCTTTAGCTTATGCATAAAAAAAATGAAATATCAAATCAATATAAATGACGATATATAAATTATGAATGCAAAACCCACAAAAAGAAAATAAAAAACCCCTAAAATCTAAAATAACCCCTAAAATTGAAATAAAACCCTAATTTAAAAGAATTAAAAAAATAAAGTTTTTCATATTATATCGCAAACCCCCCTAAAATCTAACACTAAAATCGATTAAAAAAAATCCTTACATTGAACAAACGCTATCGTCAACAATCGACACAAAATTATGGATTCTATCCGACATAAAATGTGGTAAAATAATAATTGGACACTCAAATTTAAAACCGTTAAAAGTTTGACCATTAACCATAAAAAATAGGGGGATATTTAATATTTTCTATAGATTATGAGGCATATGATTCATTTCACAATAGTAAAGGGTTCAAAATGAATTTACCCTAAACTAAATTAACGTATATTTCTTTCTTTCTTATATTCACACACACTCTCTCTCTCACACACACACACACACAGTGTGCTTTTCATCTTCTCCAATTTGTCAATTGGCTTTCCCCTATTTCAAGTAAAAGGTGTTTGACAACTTTCTCTTAATATCACCTAATACCTCCTCCTTTTTGGTTAAATTCCACACTCCCCCCACTCTTTATTCACACCATTTCCCCAGAGAGAAGATTTTTCACTTTCTCTCTCTTCTTCCTTTCTCTCTCATCCCAAAACCCTACCCAAAAAAAAAACAGAGAGCAAAAAAACCTTGTTGTGATTGAATGAAACCCCAATGAATACAGAATCATACTTTTCAATGCATTTCCCCACCCTCAAATTCCCCATTCTCCTGTTGCTTCTTCAATTTCTCCACGGCTCGCTCGCCGGCTTACTCTCCGAGCCGGCGCAGCCGCTCAAGCCGGGCGACTACAACACCGTCCCGGCCTTTCCGGTCCAGACCGAAGCCCAAACCTGCCGCCTCGACCTCTCGGCTGAGCTATTCGGCGGCGTCAGCGCCGCGTGCGGCCGCAACCTAGATCGGAGCCGGTGCTGCCCAGTCCTCGCCGCCTGGCTCTTCGCGGCTCACGCCAGGTCGGCGCTCCAGATTTCGGCGGCGGCGCCGCCGACCGGCTCCGAGCTGCCGATGATGCCCGACGATTCCCAGAGGTGCGTGAACTCGCTGCAGAGCTCGCTGACGAGCCGGAACATACACATACCCCAGCCGAACGCGTCGTGCGACGCCGTTCTGTGCTTCTGCGGCATCCGGCTCCACCAGATCACCTCCCTCAGCTGCCCGGCCGCCTTCAACGTCACCGGAAACACCAGGAACGCCACGCCGACCGCCGCCGTGAGGAATCTGGAACGCAACTGCAGAAATTCCTCCTACGCCGGCTGCACCAAGTGCCTTGGTGCTCTGCAAAAGGTTAGTTTCGTTATTTTTTATTTTTAATTTTTATTTTCAATTAATACAAGTATATATTTAATTTATTGCTCCCCACTTTGACATTTATTTCTCAATGATTGATCATGTGTTCAATAAATACTTCCCCACCATTACTGCTGGAATTTTTTGTTTGTTTTTTTTTTTTTTTTTTGATTTGTTTTTTGTTGATTGCTTCTATTATAAATTATCTTTGTTTGAAATCGAACTTGATATAAATAAATATATACAGAGATAGAGAGAAAGAATTGTGATTATAATTTATTACTATTTAAAAAAAATTGTGATCAATAATTGCTAATGAATTTGTGGATTCTCGAAAGTGCTTTCGCTCTCAATCGACTCTCAATCGACTATGTAGATGCACTGAATAAACATTCGTTCGCGTAATCGACTATGTAGATGCACTGAATGACATTCGTTATTTTGCCCGTTGATTCGGTATCTCAATGTTATTGTAAAATGTGTTAGTATAGCTACACTATTACAATTTAATTACAACATATAAGTTTCAAATAATATTTTTATTCATTTGAGAATGATTTAGATCTCTAGTTCATGGCCTATTAGGAGTAGATCTAAGAATATATTTTGGACATTCTTTTATTAAAAAACATAAAAACAGATGAATTTAATATTAATTTCTCCTTCAATAGATAAATAAATAGATTAACATTTTTCTAGGTATAAATTCTTTATATTATCTGTAGGATCACCAAAACAATGATCCCACTACATCTTCACAATTTCCTGTTTTTTTCCTTTTATTTTATGGTACGTGAAAAGTCTAAATTACCCTCGTCTCTGAAACTATTTGCAGCTGAAAGTGGATGGCAAAAACGGAACGAAAGGAGGGATAGAACAGAGCGATGGTGGGGATAGAGCAAGTAAAATGCTGAGCAGGGACTGCCAGCTGATGGGGCTGACGTGGCTGCTGGCACGCAACAAGACGGCGTACATACCCACCGTCTCCGCCGTGTTGCGCGCCGTCATGTACAGCGCTCACCCGCCGCACGAGTCGACGTGCTCCCCGGACCAGGAGAACATGCCCCTCGCCGTCGATTCTCTACAGTTCGACAAATACGATTCCTCCTCTTCTGCCCTTACCACTTCTTTTATTCCATTTCTGCCCCTAATAATTCTTTCTTATCTTTTTCTCATAGGCCCCCTTTACATTAGTTGGGGATTTTTTTTTTAGTTTTTAAATATTATTACCTGTTTGCCCCCCTGCCATTTTTGTGAAATTATTTGTGATGGGGGCTTCTGGTTGGGGGGCGAAGGTGGGGGTGGGTATGTTTTGAGGGGGGCCCTTTTTGAGTGTTTCATCACGTGAAGCTAGTTGACAAAATGGGGGACTGGGGTTATTTTTGTCATTTACTGCCCCTGTGTAAATTTTCAGACACTTTGGTTTAAATCTTAATTTTCTTATGTGTAGTGGTACGAGGAAATCTTTTGCTTTTTACCATCTTTAGAGTCAACGAAAAGGTTAAGTAAAGCATGTAAAAATGTTTGATAGTTTTGGGATTACAACTTTTAATTTTATTTTTCTTCCAATACCTAAAACTTTAAACTAAAAATGAAATAATATTTAATACCTAAATTTTTATCTTTTTTTTTATATTAAATTAATTCGAGGGCAAATTACCGCCAGCCCTTTGGGTACCGTTAAATTACGAAAGAACAAAAAAATAACTCATGTTTGAATAATTATAACTACTTCTCAACTGTTTATTGTTTTACACGTCCACTCTTACAGTGTCAAATTTACCTACCGAATGAATTAGTAGTTTTTTCATAAGACAATATATAGTTGGAGGGCTGGATGTATTTATCCAAACAAGATGGATTTTTTTTTCTTCGTAATTTGACCTTATCTCAGTAGATAAATCGTAATTTACCTCACGGTATTTTAGAACTATGTTAGTTGGATCGTTGAATTTGTGATGCTAAAAGTACTAAAAAAAAAACAAAAAAGTTAATAACCTTTTAAAATTAGGCATCGTTCAAAACTCGAGGAAGAACAACGTAATTCCCTAGACCCGAGTATATATGTTGCCCCTCGAAAAATAAAAAAATCGATTTTAATATTGTTCTTTTTGAATAACAAAAAGGCTACATTAGAAAACTCTTAACATGGGAATTAACAATGTTAAACTGCACATGATGAAGCAATTTTATAATACAGGGATCACATGTTTTAGGGGAGGGAATCACGGTTGAATGTTTGTCTTCACCTTGAATACCACCTTCTCCTTTGTATCTTATACTTTGGTTTTTTTCTTTTTGCATATTCTTTTATATGTATAAATCCCACATAAATAATATATAATATATGGAAAATTATTTTTTGTACTTCAATTAATTGCTATAAATTCATCCGAAAAACGACAAGTCTTGCATTAATCCACCAGAAAATAGAGAGAATTCTTTAAATAATAGATAAGATTCTATTAAAATTAAAGTTTCTTAATAAAAATTAGGGGTGGTCTTTCTCTACCAAAATGGTCTACCAACCGAGTACCCTACTGAAATTTCAATAACGAACGAATATGGCTCATTGTCTTACCGTACCGAATTATTTTGGTAGGGGTAATGGAAATGGATCTCAATTTTATGATTTTAATTATTTTAATAAAATACTCAATTTTATTTTACATTATTCGCAATAGTCTCTTTATTCATGTAAACATTATTATTTATTCGAAAAACATTTAAGTAAGAAAAAAAGAAAAACAAAGAAAGAAAGAAAATAAGTCACCAAATATAGTCCTTATTTGGTAGTAACGGCCTGAAGTGCGCTTTTACCCCGAATAGTGCTACTCTGCTGGAGCTCTATATAGTCCTTGTACGTAATGGACCGATAGCGGACCGAATCTTTTTGGTCAACGAGTTGACTTGCCGGCCCGATAGTGCTCGATAATGCTGGCCCGTGTCCAACAGCTATCGAAATTCTTGTCCGTTGGGCGTTCACCGTTGCTCGGTGCTCGACACTCTTGTACTTTCCGTTGCTTAGTATCTACGCACGTACGTTCATAGTTAGTGTGTATGCCAATACCTAACTCACCGAAAGCCACTAGTATTGCTAACAAACCCTTAAATCGAATCTGGATGATAAGGAAGGATTTTAAATGACTCGAGCTAAATACGAAGTACTTGCGACAAATATCATATTTTTGGGTTCAAATCCAACTACGATCTAGGATAAAATAAATATATTTAAATCAATTTGTTTTTTAATTTCCTCCAAGTTGGTGAGTAAATTCATCACATAATTAAAAATAGGGATGTGACAAAATGTCGTTGAATTCAAACGCGATTTTGATCATTTTTTCTTCAATTTTGCAAACCCCCAAACATGGAATTTGTAGTGTTTTGAGTTGACTTTCTAATCTAACTTGAATCACCGAAATTGGATGCCGGATGATAAAAATATACATTAATCAATGAACACTGCCCGCAACTTTGATGTATTGAGTTATCTAGAATAAAAAATGTGACTAATTCATGCATAACTTTGTCACACGACATCCAATCTAGCTGAATTATGTTCGATTAGAAAGTTAACTCAAAGAACTACAGTTTTCGTGTTTCGAATTTTTGCCAAAATCAAAATAAAAATATGTCAAAATCAAGTTCAAAATTAAAACGGTATTATTAAAATTGAAACGGCATTTGACATTTCAGTTAAAACATTTAGAAGTAGAAAGAAAAAAACACTAACCTCCAAACAATCTCCAACATTGACAAGGAACGTGCCAGGCACGTGATGAACAGAAACCCAATCTTGATTGTGTTTGATTTGCAAACCATTGACACCATTTTGCATCAAAATAGTGAGTGCACCATGATCTGAGTGAGCAGCCAATCCCAATGTCTTTTCTGGCTGAGGGCATTTTGGGTAATAATTTGCTGCAAGAATTTGTAACCCCTCACCAAATGATTCTTCCAAGTAGTTTTGGTCAAGCCCTAAACCTTCTGAAATTGCACCTCCTATTTTCATTGCCAATTCCCATATCTCCTCCAAATATTCCTTTGCCACATTTCTTCACACAACGTAATTAAAATTATTTATTAGTATTAGTGTTTTTAGATAATATTTTTTTTTTGATTTAAGCCCTTATAAATTCAACTAGACATGCCAGATATAGAACCGGTGGTGGAACCAGAAATCGATCCGTAAGAGGGTGGACTATTGTGGGTAGGCGTGTAAATCAGACAAATCAAATCGGAATTAGCCAAATCCGATTTTTTTCGGAAGTGAAAAACTAGTTCCAATTTTGTTCCAAAAACATTGGAAATCCGAACTTTGGAAATTGAAACGAATAAATTTTTCTCTCAAATCGAAAAATTTCTGATCGGAATCAACAAAATTCGTAATTTTTTTTGGCCACCTTGAACGTAAAATACATAATAATATTGGTATTTTAGTTGTAGCATTTGAAAAAAAGATTCAGAATTTTTTTCAGAACTGTAATCGGATCTGAAATCGAAATCTCATATATATTTTAATTCCGATCCAAATAATTTCAGAAAAATCGGAAGTCGGAATTTCGGAATTCAGATTGAAAACTATTATTCCAAGATCGGAATCGACGAAAATCAAAAATTCCCTTACGGTGTCAAATTTACATACTGAAAGAGGGTTTTTCTTTTTCCGTAATTTAGGCTCAACTCAAGGGTGGCCGTAGTTTGACCAAAAATATATATACCAATATATGAAAGATAATGAAAAATAAATAAATATAAAAAATAAGTAGTGACCTGTAATTAGGGGGATTAAGCGGCCAGAGGTGTAAGGTATTCTGATGACCATAGTGTCTGAAATAATCTCTCCAATGAAGACTGTGTTTTTTGGAAGTATTCAAACTCGTTCCATATCTAACTGGACTCATCACATCTTCTGACCCGTATTTCATTTTCTCATCCCAACTCAGTTCAAAGAATTCTTCAGCCACTTTCACCATTTCATCCATCACACTCATTTTAATCCCATGATTAACAATCTATACATGTACACCAAATATTAATTAATTAATTAATTAATGAGCTAATAGCACAGACCCTCCTGTATTATTTCTAATTGCCGAAAGACCCCTTGTGTTAAAAAAATTAGAAGCCCTCTATGTCAGGGGCGGAACCAGGATTAAAATGTAGGGAGGGCTAACTAAAATTTCGGGGTTCGGGGCAGCGCCCCGAAATTTTTTTTAGGTTCACAAGACATTGCAAAAATAAGTTTATATTTATAAATTTTAATTAAAATGGCATATATATTATAATTTTATCATAATTTAAGCATGACAAAAAAATTTAAATTAATCCAAATTATTTTAATAATATATCGTACTTATATTTTGGAGATTCATGGCATCGTCTCACATTACTTTATAGAGTCGTTGATAAAAAAAAAATCAAAAATAAGTAAATATTCATAAATTTTATTTAAAATAGTACAAGTTTTAACCCTTTTATTTTATATTTTTAAATATGAAATATAATATATATATATATATATATATATATATATATATATATATATATATATGTATGTATGTATGTATAATTTATATAACATTATGGAGAAGAAATAAAAAAGTTAAGGATTAAGACACATATTTACAAAAGCTTTAGGGGGCTAAATTAACATTCAATAAATACAATGCTCAAATATCTAAAAAAAAAAAAAAATTATCTTGGGGGGGTCAACAGCCCCCCAGCCCCTTCTATGTTCCGCCAGTGCTATATGTTGTGTTTTGAAAAACACACCGGTCCTTATTTAGATATTTATTGTTGACTTATGTTAAATGACCAAAATACCCTTACAAAAGAAATATTTTAAAAACAAGAACATAAAAGGAAACAAAAAGAATTTTAGAGGGTGTTTTTAACTTTTCAAAGTAAAAAAAACACACCTCTGTTCTCACAATCCACGAGTGCAATACTCAATAAGTTGTTAAGAGTTTTTTTACTTTAACTATTTTTCACAGGGGTTCTTGCTAATTTTTTTAACACAAAAGGATTTTTTTAGCAATTAGAGATTAGACAGGGGTAGTTTTTACAAAAAAAACCAAATTAAAGAGTATATATATATATTCAAGAAAACTACTAACCCGAAAGAAACCCCAGGTTTCGCAGGCGGAGCTGATGGCTTTGACGGCGGAAACTCGACTTTCGGAATGTGATCCGTTATTCAGCCCATGCAGATCGATTACGGGAACGTGGGCGAGGGGGGCGGACAAGGGGCTTTTTGGTAATTGCAAAATGTACTGAGACGGGAGTTTGTTCAGATGGGGTGAAGTGTCAATTAGATGCTTAACACCTTTCTTGTAATCAAATATTTCAATATTATCATCACCATTTTCTGCAGATAGATTTTCCGCCATGATTTTTGATGTGAGTATTGATTTTCAGGCAGAAGAAATAATCGAATATATTTTTAAATATTAATGGTGTGGTTTTTTAGGTGTGAAAGGTGACGCGTTTTGTGGAGGAATCTTTATTCATATGCATGCCTGGTGGCGAGTGCATGCAGAACAAGACAAAGTTGGTAGTGTGTTTTGTTTTTATTACAGTTAAACCTCCGAAAAATTAATACAGTCGTGATTAAGAAAATTCTATTGATTTAGTGAATTATTAAATTATCGAGTTAATAATTTAACATTTCTTTACCGATTCAAGATCGAGAGAAACTGTTATTTAATCGATGTTATTAATTTATCGAGATTCTACTGTACAAGGATTTTACATTTGAAATAATCACAAAAATGAAAAAACTACAAGTTCAGGCCCAAATTCCTTACACATGGGGCCCACTTGGGTTTAATTAAGTAAATTTAATTTAATTAGCTCAGCCCGTATTAATTTAAGTAGTTCTTGATCATTTTTACTAATCACGTTCTTGAAGTTTGTGTAGAGTTTTTTCTCTCGATTCGGAGGGTTTTCGTCGGGATTACGCCCTGGCGCCGTAACGTTTGTTTCTTGGTGCAGATAAAAATCCACAAATTATTTGGAGTATTACTGAGTATTTTTGAAGATTATTCTACGCGTTATAGGTAAATCCATTTTTTAACCACACCATTTTCGCGCCGTTTGTGAGAAATTGCTATTTCTTGCCAAGTTTTTGCCGATTCACGTTCAATAGGCACCCTTTGCGGCATTCGTTTCTCAACGCCAAGACATTTCTATTGTAGTCAATACGTGCATCGATAAACTCTACAAGCTAAAATGCCGAACCCGAAAGCGAGGGGACAATAAAGGGAGTCGTAAACGAGCGTCAACGATTTCGTTCCTACAAATCCTTCAACTTGATTTCTTGAGACGTCTAATGCAAATCGACAAAAGGATTCCCCCTCCTAAAGGGCACAAGGATTGCAATTATGTAGTTATTGTCGGCCATAAACTCTACTCACGAAAGCTCAGTGTAATTCCAATGATGCATTAGTTAGCATTTTTTGTTTTAAAATTCGAGAGAACTAGTAGAAAGAAAGTAACGGAAAGTGCCTTCTAGTCACATTCTACGTATATTTATTAGTTTTTTTTCTTGATATTCGCGCACCAGCACAAAACGATACTTATTTTGAAACAGAGGAAGTAATTGCTGCATCATACAAACAAGCATTTAAAATGACAATTTATGGACATAAAATTTGTATAACTTAAAAAGCGCCAATTGTGCATCATTATACAAGAATGCATGTAGCTGAATATAGCAAATATGCTATAGCAAAAGCTTCAAGTTTTTCTCTTGAGAAACACACATCCATACAAACATATAGATACACGAAAAAAGAGAGATATACATATATATTGACATATCTATATATCTATGACCACCATGGCTGCTCACCGGTCCTGAAATCAGTTTCGACCCACGGAACAAACACCACCTTACCATCTTCGATATCTGCATGGGCCAAAGCCAAAGACTGCACCCAAAATACGACATAATATATATTATCCGAAAAAAAAAATCTAAATAAAATTTATTTGAAAAAAAAAAATATATATATATATAAATAGACGAAAAAAAAAGTTGTGGAACTTACGAGAGGAGCGGGTCCCCTAACAACTCTTCCTTGGTTGTTGTATTGAGAACCATGGCAAGGGCAAATGAATTTCTTCTCGGCTTGATTAAACGGCACAACACAACCAAGATGTGTACAAACAGCGTTTATGCCGAAAGTTGCGAGTGTTCTATCGCTCTCCACGACAAGGTATGTAGGATCACCCTCAAAAATTCATCCAAAATTTCAGTCGTTGAAGCTTGAACACGGAATTTCAAATTCTGATTTACGAGGATTTTATTCGATGCAAGAATGTATTTTCATGCGATTGTGAGAAGAAACGAGAAATGTAGGATGTATATGTAGTTTTTGCGCTAATTGATTAGATAATTGGACTTTATTAGATGGTTGGTTAGTAGTCCAATAGCTTCTCGGGCATTATTACGATACAATTGGAATTTCATAAAATTATATCTTGGCTAATCTTATCTGAGGAAGCAAACGAGGCCGTAGTGCATTATACAAGCACGATTCATCAAATGGGGGAATAATACATTATATATGCAACGTACATAATAATAAATTAAAGAATAACTATTACCTTAAGTCCTTGTGTCAAGGTTCGATCGCCAGGGCCGTGGGTTTTGAGCCATTCAACTGCAATTACGTCATTACCTAATGCATCCTTTGCGGGCGTACCACCGGCACCCCCTCCCGAACTATTCTTCGTTTAAAAAAAAACCAAATTCATTACAAATAAGGTTCAATCGAGTCAAACATGCGTTAAACTTGAGTAGCTTGATTACGTTACACATTATTTTGACATATACAATTCATAAAATTATTTAATCTTAGAAAAAAAAAATGAAATTACTATAGGTAGATATAGTTCACTATATTGAGAACATAAAATTGACATACATTATACGTATCGTAAACACATAAATATGAATCATATTACAACGATTATCGTATGTAGGCCTAAATAAGGACACAAGGGCCTATTCAATTTCTTGACGATCGAACACGTTCGATAAACCTCTATTATTTGAAGTCCAATTAAGTGACAATGAAGAGCAATTTCATCTTCACGGTCAAAAATCTATGAGTAGGCAAAGTAGGTTCGTTCATCCTCGTCATAAGTTCTTTATTTTCTCTAAAAAATCGAACAAGTTGACGCTTCCATCAGAAAACAAGCAAAAAACAAAATAAAATATTACGAGCTAAATTTTCGTAGTCTTGAATTTTTTTTTCTTTATTCCAAGATTTAAGTGGTGTTTGCAACGGCTTTCAGAAATTGTTCATCACTTTTGTTTTTCTTCTGCACATAATTCGTTTTTAAGTGTTTGCAAAACAAGTTTTTGCTTTTGCTTCTCTTAAAATAAGGTGGTTTAAGCAATAATTTTATAAGCACCCATGTACCTATTTTTTTTTTTTAATTCTATTTTAGTTGATTTTCCAGCTAATTTGCAAACAGCCCCAACTTTTACAAAAATAATCACTTAATTCCAACTTAACTCATAATTACTATGGTCTGCTTTTAAATGCTTTTAAATAAGCTTTTGCAAACACCACCTCAAAATTTTGTTGATATTTGGTAGAGATGAAGTGGCGAATCTTGAATTCGGAAAATTATAAATAATTTTTCAGATAATCTCCGGCGAATCCTTCGAATTACGAGCATATAAATAATCAAAATTAGCAATGTCAATTTCATCTAAATCGACTCAATTAATTATTCACTACTAAATCGAATTAAATTAGTTTCAACAAAAAAAAAAAATTGAAGAGGAAAAAAAACATACCCAGGTGGAACGAGGAAGTAAGTGTAAGGAAACAACATCCCGCCGGTCGGAAGAGCGAGAGCGCCGAGGAGAAGCAAATTCATGAGCTCCCTCTTTCCCATGTCGGGAACTCTGTCTGCCGGGATGCTCGTCGCCATGCACCTCACCTTCATCCTCATATCTTTTCCGTTCCTCACGCACTTCGCCAGGGCGGCGCGTGTCGACGACGCGCTCATCCCATTCTTGCCCGAGCAGAGCTGATCGGAAAGAAAAAAAAAAAACCCAAAAAAATAAAATAAGAAAAAAGAACAGAAAAACGGCAGTTGAAATTCAATGGTGAGTTTTACGTTTACCTGAGAAGGGGCGATGGCAGGGGATAAAGCATAGGAAGCCATGGGGAAAGTAAATTTCTTTGGGTGGGAGTGTGTGTGTGTGTGTGTTTTCAGGTTTTGTGGGAAGAAGATAAAAGCGGTGATGATTGGAGGAGGAGTAATGGTGGAATCAAGACCACAAGGTGAAGTAGATAAGACGATAGATTGTACAGCCACACATATTCATCATACAAGATATATTCACATTTTTGACACAATAATAAAGGTTAATTGCAATTTGCACCCTTAAAGTATGGAGGTTGTAACACTTTTACCCCTTATGTAACACTTACCATCTGAGGTGGACCCAGGGGCTTTTAGTTGAGGGGCCAAAAAATTGGGGGTGAATATAGGGAAGGAAAAAAATATTTTTTATGGACTAAAATTGTACAAGTTTTAAATCTTAAGGGGCCAAAGTCTATAATTTAATAGATAAATACCATAATACAATAAATAAAAGGGTAAATTACAAACAACCCCCTGAGGTATGGTCAAATTATAAAAACACCCCTCTTATTTGGATAATTACAACCACCCCTCAACTCATCAAATTTAGTGGAATCTTCGAGATTATATGGAATATTATCACTTTTGTACCCGTTTTATCCCATTCAAACTCTACATTATGAAGCAAGATGATCATAATATGTGATTTTTAGCTTGTATATATCAGTTTGTGGTGCATCAAAAACTGTATTTTTACACAAAACGAGTACAAACTATAGCACATTTCACGGAATCTAGATGATTATGTTGAATTTGGCACCATAAGGGTGGAGGTGTAAGAAAAAATCATAGTTGAGGGGTAGATATAATTATCCAAACAAGAGGAGTTTTTTTGTAATTTGACCATACCTCAGGGGGTGTTTGTAATTTACCCTAAATAAAAAAGTAAAACTAATAACTACTAATTTCAGTTCAAAAAAAATTAACAAAAATAAACCACATCATAAAACAAAAAACAAAACTTAAATGAAATTACTGTTCCTGAAAAAAAAAAAACTTAAAATAAATATTATATAATATATATTATTTATAGGTGTATTTTTCGGAAGAAAATCGAAGTTTTTCGGAATTAATTTTGGAAATTAAATCGGATCGGAAATCGGAAATTCCAACTTTTATATAATTCCAAATTCAATCCAAAAAAATCGGAAAAATTCGGTAATTGAAATTTTGGAAGTCGAAATGAAAAAAAAAATGTTCCAAAATCAAAACTTTTTGGATCGGAGCCGGCAAAAATTGGAACTTCCCTTCCAACTTGCACCCCTAGTACCTCCTATTGAAGTTGTTAACGTCAAAGTAAGTGAAATTTGCCGAAAAAATCGAAAACTCGAAAAAAGATACCGCACCAATATTAACAGTCCTCAATTCTGATTAAACCTTTGCTTTGATTTTTGTCTTTCGAAAAAAAAATGATATTTTCGGTTCACATACGATTTTCAATAAAAAGAACCGAACCGAACCGGACCGGAAGAACAAAACAAGACTTCAATTTTTATCATTCAAATTTCTCTTAATAAAAAAAAGAAAGCAGCTTCAGTTTCCAAACTACATCAAAAGTCATGTCCTCTACTTAATATTACAGAGATTTTCTATAGCAACTCTGCCAGTAAACAAATTAAAGTAAACAAATTAACAGTGAAATAAATAAAATCCAAACTAAGGGCCCTTGAGTAAGTGAAGAACCCTAGTCATGGAGGGACGAAGGGACGGGGAATCCGCAGTGCATAACAAAGCAATTTTGACGACATTCTCCACTTGTTCATGTTCGATCGTTTCTCTGTTCATCCGACTATCCAACAGTTGATCGAAACATCCCACTTCTTCAATCTCGTCATCGTCTCCACTTTCTCGTTCTGGACACGATAATGAAGCAATCTGTTTTACCCACGTCACAAGATTCCCATTCTCTCCGAAAAACGAGTCGTTCGGCTTTTTACCGGTGAGTAGTTCTAGCATTACTACACCGAAGCTATAAACGTCACTCTTCTCCGTCACTCTCGTTGTGTAAGCACATTCTGCAACGTGTTATGTACACAAATTTTAGAAACGAGAGGAGAGAAAAAGAAAAGAAAAAAGGGAGAGGAATATAACCGATTGATTACCTGGTGCAATATATCCGTAACTGCCAACGAGACGAGACATGACGTTATCACCCTCGTTCTTCAGTATCTTGGCCAACCCAAAATCAGCCAATTTAGGAGTAAAATCCGCATCCAACAGTATGTTATTTGATTTAATATCCCTGTGCAAAATGGCAGGCAGACAATCATGGTGCAAATACGCGAGCCCTTGAGCCACTCCGATCGCAATGTTGAACCTTACGGGCCAATCGAGCGCAAGCCCGCCTTCTCGATTTCCGTGCAAAGCATCCCCGAGACTTCCATTCTCCATGTAATCGTACACCAATACTTTACACTCTTTATTGAAGCCACTAAACAACAATCGAACAACGTTGGCATGTCTAATTCTACCCAACGTTTCAACTTCCGAACGGAGGGAGCCCTCGGGATTTGCTAAAGATCCTCTTCTTGCCTCCCAGAGCCGCTTAGCGGCCACCGTCTGGTCTCCTTCCAACCGAACCCGATAGACTCGACCCGACCCGCCATAACCGATGCAATTCTCTTCTACCAACGAGGCCAAAACGTCTTCTGCATTGAATCCGATTCTCGCGAATGCCGTTATCTCCCAAGACTGCTTATTTTCAGTTGCGGCACCGAACTTGATGGTTTTCTTTGATTTGATGACGAAGAGACAAATAAGTGACACAACAACTACTGCGAAAGCAAGAGCCGCCGATACGAGAGCTGCCACTAATACCGAGCTCGAGGCGCGTTTGGTGGATCTCGGGCAAGGAGGAAGCGGTTTAGTAGAACCACACAAGTTGACATTTCCGATTAGACTAGGGACGAAAAACTTAGTGTCGAAGCCAGCTGGCACTTTCCCTTTAAGCTTGTTGTTCGAGACGTTAAACTTGTCTAATCTGAGTTTCGTCAACTCCACCGGAATTTCCCCTGTTAGTAGATTGTTGGAAAGATCCAAGAATGTTAAGAGAGGCAAACTCCCGAGCTCCGGTGGGATGTTGCCGGAAAATCGATTTTCCGACAAATCCAAATTTGATAACTCCCTCCAATTAACAGCCACAGTTTTCGGAATCTCGCCGGTAAACATGTTCCCACGCAGTTGAAGCTCCTGCAAACTGGTCAACCGATTCATGCACGGAGGCAACGCACCGGAAAACTTGTTCCTACTCGAATCGAATGTCCACAATTCCTTGACACGGCAGATTTCCGGCGGGAACTCGCCGGAAAATTTGTTGCCGGATATTAGCAAGTGCTGCAGACCTTTTGCCTTTGAAATAGATGGTGGGATCCTGCCTTCCAAATTGTTTTTCGAGAAGTCGATGTGGTAGAGTCCGTCGAAACCCCACAGCCCAAGGGGAACCGCTCCGGACAGTCGATTTTCTTGAATAAGCACCTTCGTTAGAGAGGTGCACTCGCCGTATGAATCGGGTATTTCACCCGAAAATCTGTTGGCAAAAAGTACCAATTTCCGGAGATTCTTTCTGTAACACAAGTTTCGAGGCAAAGGGCCTTCCAAATTGTTATAGGCAACGTCGATTTCTTTGATATCCGAATGCATGCCCAACGACTCTGGTAACGACCCGGTCAAATTATTGTTGAACATCCTCAGCTCACGGAGCGCCGGATTTAAAGCTAAAACTCGAGGTATTTCACCTTCCAAGAAATTGAAGCTGAGATGCAATGATTCTAGTGGCAGAGCAGCCAGACTTTCGGGAATTTTTCCGGTCAAATTATTCAGCGAGGCATCAAAACGGAGCAAACGAGTAAGACCGGAAAAACTGTCCGGCAATTCACCAGACAGCTCGTTCTGAAACAATTCTATTTGTTCCGCATTTCTCAAACATCCAATGCTCTTGGGAATTATTCCGACAAGGTTGTTGTGGGAGACCTCAAAGTTTTTTATAGAAACGAGATCTCCGACAGATTCGGGGATTTCTCCGACGAGATTCGATAATTGAGCTTCGAGGTTCTCGAGTTTCGTGAGTCGTCCGATGCTTGCCGGCAACCGACATGGACGGAAAGGATTTAGAGCCACCACTAAGTCAGTTAACTCAGTTAAGTTGATAAAAAACTCGGGGATCGAACACCCGGTTAGTAAGTTTGAACCAAGAGATAGAACCTGGAGTGTACTTAAGCTGGCGAAACTAGCCGGAGTTTCGCCGGAGAAATTGTTGTAAGAAAGGTCCAGTTTTTTCAAATTCAAGAATGGCACAAAAAATCCCGGCAAGCCGCCGACGAAAAGATTGAACGAAAGGTCGAGAGTAAATAGACGATAACAGAGGGAAAGAGAGTCACTAGTAATACTCCCGCCAAATTTATTGCGCGAGAGATCGAGATATCCAAGTTTAGGAATCATACATAAACCCGCCGGGAACTCCCCCGAAATGTTCATGTTTGATAAATTGACGGCAATGACTACCTGATTGTGATTGCAAGAAATGCCGGTCCAGTTGCAAGCCGAATCCCGAGTTGACTCGAGCCAGTCATCGGGTTTTCCATGCAGCGGACCGTTCTTGACTCGGAGTAGTATTTGAGTGTCTTTCGTGCTCGACGAGTTCGCCAAGTGCGCAAAACTCATCAGCAAAAGCCCCATTAATGATCTCTTTGTGGAAGACATCGTGTGGCAGTGGTGGCCGGCCGGTAGAGTTTAAAATTTGAATTTACAATGGTGGTGGAACTGGTGGTGGTGCAATGGTGGTTTTAAAATTTGAATTTACAAGAATAATTTGACCGGATAAACATTTCCATTTCAGCACATGACATAGCTTCCAATTATTAAAGCTGGTTTTCTCAAATTTAGAAAAGTTTGAACTCTATTAATCCTTTAACAGAACTTTTGACTCATAATTTTTCTATTTAATTTAATATTTTTTTTACATATGTTTCACAAATTTTTGACTAATCATCTTTCACAATTTTCTATTTACATTTTCATTTATAACTTTATTTTTCTTTGGACCTCTATATATATTATATATAAAAAATAAAAATCTTCTGATGTTGATACCTAACTTAATTGAACTTGATACTCAAATATGTTGATTAAAAGACTTTGAAAGTAATTCTACGCATTTTAAATAATAATGATTATTGTCACTGGTTTGATAGTTTATTCTATCATCTATGATATTCCTATGTCTTGACTGAATTGACTCTTAAGCGTTTCAAGTCCATTTTTTTGTATTGACTTTGAATTTTTCACTACCAAAAACAATAATCTATATCTATATCTATATCTATACTACTTATAAAAGTGGGAATGTTACGGGAGGTTTCTTCCCTTTTTTGTGATGACCAAAATACCCCTATCAAAATTAAAATAATTAATATTAATTTATAATTAGTCGTATAATGTATGTTTATGAAAATAATTGATATTTTTTAGAGTTCAATGTAGCATCTGAAAAGATGAACTCATTTATCTATTAAATGTTAGTCATATAAGAAATTCAAAGAAACTCAATGGTCTTGATAATTCAATATGAGTTTCAATTTTGCATCAGTTACACCAAAGAAAGAAATAAATGATCGTAACTTCCAGTTTCAAGTTCTCATTCATCTTTTCTTTCTCTTCTCGATTTCTTTTTCGTCTTTTTCTTTCTTTTTTTTTTTTTTTTTTTTTTTCAGTTCTATGTTTAATTGTTTAAACCCTAAATTTTGAGAATTTGATAAAGTTTTCTAGATTAATGAAGGAATAAATCCTCCATATCAAGATCGGATTGAGCCTCTGTTAATAAAGTTCGTAAGTTATTTTGCATATTTTCCCCACTTCTATGTACTAAGTTAATTTCTTTTATTCATTTGAATTAATTGACCTAATGAAACACGTATGAGTTATATGCATGGGGATTATTGATTTACATGGGGATTATTAATTTAAAATTATTTCTACTCAGGTAATTCAAAACACGTGTTTCAGTTTCATAAAATTAATGTTCTATGCATGGGGATTATTGATTTAACTTTTATCTACTAAATTTACTTACAATTACATTTTATTTTTCCGTTCAATTCTTTATTTATGTATTGGAAGGTAAGATTCATTATGATATAGTTTGTGACTAAGAATGTTATACGTGAAGTTTGTAAGGACTTTCTATTTCAATTGGCTTCTTCTTGTCATCTCAAATTCATGTATGTACATTATCAGGGACTCATAACAAAAGAAAGAAAATGTATTGATCATGCAATTGCTTTATTTGCTTAATCCAAAGGTGATGTTGCATGACTTTGGGTTTAGCCACTGTTCCAATCTCATCAAAGTTGTTAGTCTTTCTCCAATAAGACTAAGCTATACATTTTCTGGAAACCATAATTTAATTTTTGATTTACGTGGCTCTTGGTATTCCTCATCCTGTTTATGAAAATAGAAATTGAACTGCCATGTAATTAGTTTTTGTTAATGTTATGAATTGTGAGTGGATAAATAGGAAATAATCTGTTAAATGAGCTTTATATTGCTATTTGTAGTTTTGCATTAGATGATTATATTGAATTGTCATGTTTTAGTTACTCGGACACTTCACTTTTGGTGGCTTGACTATCTCTATTGGTTAGTGATATAAAATTTACGGGAAATTCCACTTTCCCCCATTTTACTTTGGTTCGGTATTACTTTACCCCATTCAATTTGAAAAATTGTCTCGACGTGGTTCTCGCTGTTAGTTGTCTGACATTTGACCTCAACACCGTTTGATCTAAGCTCTAAAATTACAAAACTGCCACCCCTCCCAATTTAAATAATTATTTAAAAATAATGATAATAATAATAAAAAAAAATAATAAAAAAAATCAAGAAACGAGAAAACATAGTCAACGACGTCTGCCACCATTTATTTATTTTTTATTTTTTGGATTTTTTAAATAATTATTTAAGCTAGGAAGAGTGATTTTTTTGTAATTTCCAGACTTAGATCAAACGGTGTTAATGTCAAAGGTCTGAAAACTAACGTCGAGGGTCATATTGAGACAATTTTTCAAGTAAAATCATATTCAGCCAAAGTACAAGGGGGAAAGTGGAATTTACCCTAAATTTTATGGACTTGACTGATGGTTTTATGTTGTCTAATGGTAGACAAATATAACTTGGAATTAAAAGTTATTTGTCATGTAATTTATTTATATAAACTTGTTTCCGTGATTTTTATTTTGATGGCAAAATTTTTAATGCCCCTTGTTTGTTTTATCTTCTATATTATTTAAATTTTTAGTGATTTTATTTGTTCATGAACTTCTTATATTTTTCAATTCATATTTTTTCCCTCTAAATATTAGGGTCCAATGGCTATAGATAGTTTCCTTTTCAATTTAGTAAGTTTTGTGTTTATTCCAAATTAAAAATCATGAGTTAAGTTTTAGGCTCTGATTGAATCACCAGTCTCCTTCTCCTTCCTGCAGACAATACCTCCCACCTTATGTAAAACACTTGTATTCGCTGTCGTGTTCTCATAAAAAAATTTAATGTTATTATATATTAAATTCATTTAACACAAATTTTTGATCTGGTTCCCGTTACTTCAGGTGAGTTTCAGGGATATATTATTATAGAAAATCTACGAGCCATTCAAGGGGATACTAGAGTGAATTATGCCAGTATACTTTATATGCTTTATCACTGTCATTATTGGAGATATTAGTGACAAATGATACACTTCACTAATAGCTTAAACTTTCGGTTGAGGTAGTCATTCAACATGGTATCGGAGTCAGACCAAATGAAAGGTCATGAGTTCGAATTCCACCGCCATCCATTTCAAATATTTCAAATGCAAGGCTTCAAATGTAACTTGCTTAAACTTTAGCGGGCGAATTGGAGATATTAGTATTAAATAGTAATAGCTTAAGTTTTTTGTTGAGGTGGTCATTCAACAGCTATATTTGGTCTGTTTTTTTCCCCTTTATAGCAAGTCGATGTGATCCGTCAAAACTACAAGATAAGGATGTTGGATGTACATCATATTTCTTAGACATAACAGGCAGGGGAGGTAAAACTGTACAGGTGAAGTCAACAACAAATGGATTCTCCGATCCATGGTGTAGTCACATGATGATGAAACTGATAGTTGAAGGACAAAATGAAGCCACCCAAAATGCATAGGCAGAAATTTCAGCTCAATCTTGTATTTTCGAATGGTTTTACTAAATAGTTAGTTTAAGGAAGCTAAGTGAAGAAATGGTTGTACATGTAGTCCGTTCTTTGTTTTGATATTTCATGACATACCAATGGCTGAAGACAAACTGTTAGAATTTATTTCGTGCAGATATAAATTATTTGTGTCAGATTCAGTTTTTCGTTACTGTTGCGTGAAGTTGCAACAGTTCGTGAAGCAGTTCGTAAAAACAGAAATAAACGAGACACAAATTTTAATGTGGTTCGGATACAATTGTACCCTACATCCACGGGGACCTGCAAATAAAATTTACTAATTTTTAGTTTTACGAATACAATAGTAGGACTTAATCAAAATACAAAGACTCCCTCTTTGTTGACGCCGTTCTTGTATACTACGCTGAATTATAAATCTTCAATTTGCAGCACGTCCCTTGCTCCGCACTGTTGAACTCCCTTCAACGCTAAATCCCTCAGTCGGCGGATCGATCTCCTCCCGAGATCTGTTTAAGCCCCTCTCCCGAAGAACCGATCTTCTTTTTGTATAGAAGAAGCAAACTTGTGATACTCGTTGAATCTTGGTGTCTTCACCACAAAGCCTTGAAGCCGATATATTTTCGATGAAAATCACGTATCACGATGGAGCAATAAAAAACGAGAGGAAAAAATATTTCTCTGAAATCTTCTCTCGATGAAAAAGACGCTCCAGGTGCAGCAAAAATAAGAGCAGAAAAATATAATTTTTCTTCTCCAACAAAAGGCGTGCAACAGCAACCAAGAAGAGAGAGATCGGCTTCTCTCCAAAAAAACGCACACCCCGTATTATGTTCCTGCTTCTTCTTTTATAGTTTAGGAACACTCCTGTATTAGGTTTTACAAGGTTAGAGACGTAGAAGGAATTATCTTGTTAAAAGATATGGAATAAAAGTCCATGCCTTATTAAAATATTGTCATCCTAATTTAATGGGAATTCCCATGTAAACAAACAACCAATTAATGACAATAAAATATAAAAGATAATCAAGGAAATCTTTTCCTTCTTGAAAAATTATACGCACAAGGACTATTGGATAGTCTTGGTGTACAACAACTCTTTTTGATTAATAAAATAGTTTTCTATATAAAAGAAACAATTAATGACAAATTAAAGAATTTAAGTAAACAAGGAGACTTCCCTTTTGTGTCACGGTACATAGGACTTGTTGCACAAGTCTTTACTCATCCCTTGTTTATTAGAATCCAATTAGATTCTAACAATCTCCCCCTTTGTCATTGATTGATTCTAACATTTTCTCCCCTTGAGTAAATTGCCTGAAAATGAAACAATAGAGGATATAAGGAAACAATAAAACTAAAGATCATCCTCAGCATCAAAGGAACAGCTCATCATCATAATCTCTTTCAGCAACAAGAGTGGCATGAACTGCTGCAATAGCAAGTGCCACAGTTTCAGCAACTGTTCCCACAGTAGTGGCTTCGGCAGATGGTTCATAACGGAGTCAGCTCCCCCTGCATGTGTATCTTCCACTGTGAATGATCCTTAGACAGCTCCCCTTGTAAATGACTTCATTCTTCCCCTTTGCTTACTTGGCTTTGTAGACTTGGAGGGCGACGTGGTAAATCACCCACGTAATAAAAAACTCAGCAAATAACGTCGGCATTATAACTCCTCCTTTTATATTCTTGTGAAGACCTAAACCAATTAATGACAATAAACATCTCCATAGAATTCCACTTGGTGTTGTGGACTTAGAATCCCACCGAGATTCTAACACTCTCCCCCTTTGGCATTGATTGGTCAGAATATTTACTCCCCCTAAATATATGATACCTGCATGAACAAGGGTTAGCAAATTCAGAATAACATCTGCACATATAAACTGTTGCAACAGTTTATCAAACAGTTCAGCAGATAGTGTAAACCATAAATAAACCATAGTTCCAAAATAAAGGCAGATAATTCGTTCAGATAAGCACGAGATAAAAGGATATGCAGTAGCAGAAACAACTTCTCTGCACAATGCTTATTATTTGTCCTATATTTCTGCCCAGCAACTGTCTGATGCACTATAGCAACAGTTGTCGGAACTCCCCCTGTGTTCATGCCATCGTTGCTGTTCTTTTCTCCTGTTCTTTTCTCCCCCTTTCTGGGCAATCACCATGCAGAGATAACTCAACATGGACTAATGATCTTGATGATTCAAGCAAGCTGTTCAAACACTTAACAAAAAGATCAAAACGAAGAGAGAATCTTGGAAGTAAGTGAGAAGAATCACCTTACATAACATGCACACAAAGTCACAAACTCACAACTCAATACCACACGATAATTGCAATGCGAAAATCAAAGGATAATGATATCAAATCCCACATTAAATAACAAAGACTACAGACTTTGCCAAACTTCATACGAAACGTGGAAATGTGAGTAGTAGGCCCAATAGATCCGGTTGCAACAAAAGATCAAGTTTAACCGGCACATAAACAAAAATCCCGTCGCTCTCCTTTTTTTTTTTTTTTTTTTTTTTTTTTAATGCAAGACAAGAAGTAAACATGAGAAATAAACATGAGTGAAGAGACATATGTGAATAAGATACTGCATGGACAAACAAAACATATGGGATTTATCTTCACATTCACGATAAGCGCAATCTCCAAAAATCCTACTGCCAATGCAACCAATAAACTTAATAATCCCAAGTCAAACACAAAGATGCTCTTATTAGGTAGCGTTCACGCACGTCTAATGGTAGCTTTTTCCCATGAAAAACAGAGCAATTAAAATGAATGAGATTATGGTGGTCGTGCAATGTGTAGTCCCCTGGGCTTTCTAATTGAGCCTTGTAGTGAGTGTTCGGTCAAGTGGTTTACTGGCTCGACTCAACTAGGCTTCGAACTATTCACTGACCATATATATATAATTTATATTGGCCGTGCAATGTGTAGTCCCCTGGGCTTTCTAATTGAGCCCTGTAGCGAGCTTTCGGCCACGTGATTTACTGGCTCGACTCAAAAAGGCTTCGAACTATTCACTGACCAAATGGTTGTAGATATATATATTAGTAACAGTAGTTCAAGATTAGCTTTCACTCATTAAAAGAGGCAGCTTTTCCCTATAAAAACATCCAACCATGACAAGACTATTCAGAGAAATAAATAAGTTGGAGCCTTTTAAGTAATCATTTTGGGAATTGGTGAAGTTCTACCCCCACAAAATTTAGAAATACACGAAGAATCAAATTCACATTTGTCTCAATCATATGCAGTATGCTTAATGCAGGTCCTATATGAGATGCAAAAACATATGAAGTGTCCTACCACTAAAAGTTGCAAGTCTGGACACACAGACTGTTGCAACAGTTTATGCAACTGCATCAGATTAAACAACATAAATTCCCAGCGATTTTCGCAAGGAATCAAATTTCTGTGCATCAAGGGTTTTTGCAAAAGCATCAGTTAATTCATTCTCCGTTGCAGCATAATCAATTGAGACAACCCCCTTTTCAACCAAGCCCATTATGAAACAATGACAAATATCAGTAAGCTTAGTTCTCGAATGTTGAATTGGATTCATAAACTTATTTTTTGCATACAGATTATCACAATTCAGATTACCAAGTTTGTTATTCCCCAAACTAGCTTTGTCACCAGAACTGTTGGAACAGTTAGTACTATCATCACATGATTTTAAAGAAGTAATGGCAGATAAACAATTAAGATCAGATTTCTTTACCCAGATTTTTTGTTGAGATTTATTCACTAAATCAACCTTTATCTTGGGTTTTTGAGACGGCACAAAAGTGTGATCAATTTTAGCGGAAAGTGGTGAGCGGGCCATTATTCTTTTAACCATTTTCAAGTACTTAAAACACCTTGGTCGTATATGACCGACCAGGAACATGACAAAAATGACAGGTAGGGACAAAAACTTTTCTTTGAAATGGCAGTGTTGGTGCAACTGTCGCAACAGTCTGTGAAACAGTGGATTGCTTAACAAAATTGATTTTTCTTTTAGGATTTTCTTTCTGTTTCGATGCACCAGTAGATAGCTGGTTACCCCCTATACCCATACGACCGTAGTTCGGCTGATTTTTGTTCAAAATTTCATTCAAAGTTACTCTACCAGTATTAAACTTAGAAATAACATCTTGGGTTTGAGCAAATTTAGCCTTCAAGCTATCTATATCTCTACTAGAAGAAATAACATTTTGTTCAAGGGTAGAAATTCTTACTTTCAACACTTTATTTTCCTCTATGAGAACATGCTTATCCTTTTCAAGGCGCTTATTTACCTCAGATACTTCAAGCCACTTCCGGTACATTTTTTCATATACATCTTTCACCTCTTCGATGGTTGGCTTTTCATCATCACTACTGCTTTCAGATTCACCTGCAAAATTAAATGGTGAAGTCAGACTATTGTCCTTATTTGAAGATAATTCATCATACTTGAGTTCTGTTGGACAGACTGTTGCAACAGTTTCAGCGACAGTCTCTTTGCACTTGCTTATCTGAGTAGTACCACTGAATGCCATAAAGTTTGTGGTTTGATCTTCTTTGTTGTTCTCATCCTCATCACTGTCCTCTTTATCACTCCAAACAGTGGTGAGTGACATCCTCTTTTTCTTCAAAGTGTTAGCACACTCGACCTGAATATGTCCAAAACCCCCACACTCTCGACATTGCATTCTCCTAGACTTTGCATCATCAGAATAACCATTATTAGAAAACTTTTTAAAATTTTTAGGGTTAACATACTTACCTGATTGAGAGGAACTTCCTCTATTTTCAAGCTTTTGACGCAAGCTTTCGAGGTTATTTGACATAATTGCTAAGGATTCTTCAACATCAATGTCATACTCATGAAATGTTTGGTCTTGTGGGATGCCATGGGAAGCTTCAGCCTGGAATGCCACATTCTTCACCTTTTTCTTTTCTCGAATACTTGCTCTAAAATTCATTTCTTGGGTTTGCAGTTTACCCATGAGTTCATCTAGCTTTAGCGTATTGATATCTCTCACTTCTTCGATTGCTGCAACTCTGTAAGCGAATCTTTCTGGTAATGAACGTAGTGCCTTTCTTACCAACTTTGTTTCCGAGTATTGTTCACCTAGTGCATACGATTCATTTGAGATATCACACAGCTTAGCGTGGAAATCAGCAATCGTCTCGTCCTCCTCCATATGAAGACTCTCAAATCTCGTGGCTAGCATCTGCAGCTTAGATGTTTTAACAGTTGATGTGCCTTCATACGTCACTTGTAGGATCTCCCATGCCCTTTTTGCTGATTCACACGATGCTATCAATTTGAACTGATTGTCACCAACGCCACTGAAAATTGAGTTTATCGCCCTTGAGTTGTAATTGGCAAGTAATACCTCTTCATTAGTCTATGCTTCTTCTAGTTTTATCGTTTGCATACCATCCGTTCCTTTAGCCATGAGCGGGGTCCAACCAGTCACGATAGCACGCCAAGCTCGTTCATCAACGGACTTGATGAACATTTTCATCTTCGATTTCCAGTATGAGTAATTTGATCCATCCAAGAGAGGTGGTCGTACTGTAGACGCTCCTTCACGATGAAACATATCTGCACAAAACAAATAAATAATTAAATCCCAAAATCTCACTAAGTGTATCTAGTGACAGGCTCTTGATGCCAATTGTTAGAATTTATTTCGTGCAGATATAAATTATTTGTGTCAGATTCAGTTTTTCGTTACTGTTGCGTGAAGTGTTGCAACAGTTCGTGAAGCAGTTCGTAAAAACAGAAATAAACGAGACACAAATTTTAATGTGGTTCGGATACAATTGTACCCTACATCCACGGGGACCTGCAAATAAAATTTACTAATTTTTAGTTTTACGAATACAATAGTAGGACTTAATCAAAATACAAAGACTCCCTCTTTGTTGACGCCGTTCTTGTATACTACGCTGAATTATAAATCTTCAATTTGCAGCACGTCCCTTGCTCCGCACTGTTGAACTCCCTTCAACGCTAAATCCCTCAGTCGGCGGATCGATCTCCTCCCGAGATCTGTTTAAGCCCCTCTCCCGAAGAACCGATCTTCTTTTTGTATAGAAGAAGCAAACTTGTGATACTCGTTGAATCTTGGTGTCTTCACCACAAAGCCTTGAAGCCGATATATTTTCGATGAAAATCACGTATCACGATGGAGCAATAAAAAACGAGAGGAAAAAATATTTCTCTGAAATCTTCTCTCGATGAAAAAGACGCTCCAGGTGCAGCAAAAATAAGAGCAGAAAAATATAATTTTTCTTCTCCAACAAAAGGCGTGCAACAACAACCAAGAAGAGAGAGATCGGCTTCTCTCCAAAAAAACGCACACCCCGTATTATGTTCCTGCTTCTTCTTTTATAGTTTAGGAACACTCCTGTATTAGGTTTTACAAGGTTAGAGACGTAGAAGGAATTATCTTGTTAAAAGATATGGAATAAAAGTCCATGCCTTATTAAAATATTGTCATCCTAATTTAATGGGAATTCCCATGTAAACAAACAACCAATTAATGACAATAAAATATAAAAGATAATCAAGGAAATCTTTTCCTTCTTGAAAAATTATACGCACAAGGACTATTGGATAGTCTTGGTGTACAAAAACTCTTTTTGATTAATAAAATAGTTTTCTATATAAAAGAAACAATTAATGACAAATTAAAGAATTTAAGTAAACAAGGAGACTTCCCTTTTGTGTCACGGTACATAGGACTTGTTGCACAAGTCTTTACTCATCCCTTGTTTATTAGAATCCAATTAGATTCTAACACAAACTATTTTAGTTTGATTAATATATTTCATTGTTTTATTTAGAACTGTAGCAGTTTTTACTGTATACAGGTCAAGATTATGCTCTTGATACGCTCTTTTAGAATGCATTCAAATAGACAATCAACTCAGTGTTCTAGAAGAAAGAAGGCACATTTTACTACCCTTGAGATACAAGTTCACTTGAAATATATCTTTCAATCTTTGTAACATATCAAAGATATCATTGCATGCAAACTTATGGACAATATCTAAAGTTCTTCCATGAATTATTTATTCTTTATAATTAGACATAGTTTCACTTTGTGAAATTATATGTCATTACTTTGACAGGATGATGGCCTGGTACATAGTATGTCAAAGTCAAAATGCCCTGAGGTATGTTATTAAAATATGCAAGTCTCCTTTTTGTTTATGAGAACCTCTCTTCTTCTATGTTTCGAATTTATCAAGATTCTCTAACTCTTAAACGATCGAGACCATTATAGAGCTACTCTAGACTTGCGTTCATGTGGAGTGATACTCTTTGTAAAGGTTTTACGAACCTAACCTTCTCTTTACACTACTGTGAATCATATAGACTAATTAAATTTGTGTAGAGTATGTTTGGAACATAATTTTCATGCTCATTGATAGCTGGAAATTATGTTAATGCACAAGCTTCTGAGTTTTTTTTTTATTTTTCTGAGGTATGTTTCATCGTTCAATAAGAAAAAAAAATGGAATTGGTTAAAGAGAGGGCAATCCATAATATGGTTAAAGAGAGGGTAATCCATAATAAGCAGAGCCTGTTGCATAAGGACTAGGTGTGTCTTGAGGAAATTACAATAGGATGATGCATTTTGGTTATCATGAGTACATTTGCTGTCCCACCAGAGAGTTATAAGAGTTGTATTAGTTTTCAATGATTTCACATAAACATCATTAACTTACACATCTATCATACTACAATAGCAATACTAAACAAAATCTCGTAATTGACTGCAAATTTGATTATAAATCTCGAAAAATATGATTTCCTAGGATTTACCTGAATTTCAATGTATATGCAATACAAAGAAGATAAGAGAAGCATTTTAAGTTTGATTAGATGTAGTTTACATTTCTCCTATATTTATAGAAGTAGTGTTAAGTGTATATTTTTACACTTAATCGTACCTTTTAATTGGAGCTTTTGGTGTGTTTTAATGATAATTGGTGCTTAAAATGTTGATTTATTGTATTTTATGTACAAATTGAAGAATTGGATAAGTATGGGGTAAAAACTGTAAATTTGGAGAAAATATGGGCGAAAAGTGAAGAAGTCAAAAATTTGAAGAATTATAGCCCAGACGGCCGTCTGAGAATTACACTTAAATCTCAGACGGCCGTCCGAGAAACAGAGGCAGTCTCTGGAATTTAGAGGGCCGTCCGAGTTTTAGTACATAACCTCAGACGGCTGTCCGAGAAGGCGTAGAAGCACAGTAAATGAATTTTAATTGCACACGGAAACTACCTTATCCTTCAAATTTTCCACCCTATATAAGACCAAGCAAGCACACAATTGGGCATCAATATTTTACGCAATTTCAAGAGCAACGAAGACGAAGAATTCGAAGATTACAATCTTTATGAATTATTATTTTGTTTTTACTTTAATCATGAGTAGTTAACTATTTAATTCCTAGGATTTTATTTCGAACCCTATGTGGGATTTATGAACTCAATTCTATGATATTATGCAAGTTTTAATTCCGGATTATCTCTTCTACTTGTTTTATTAAGTGCATAAACTTGATCATCTTATGTGATTTTATGTTATTGTTAATCGCATGAATCGGAAGATCGGGTTAATAATTAGAACTGTGGTAGAAGAGCCTTTGTGGTATTAACATAGGAATATAGTTAATCTCTTAGGTAGCCATTATTGAGATTTGTGCTTAATGTTGTGTTCTAGAATTAATTGCGTAAGAGTACAATAATTGAATCTAGAGTATTAGAATCGTAATACACGCGGAAGCGGGTTATGATTAATTTAACATCTCAAGTTAATAACCTGAGTTAATTACTTGCATAATTGAAGGGATTGGGGGAGTAATAATCACATAGGGGGAACAATAAAATCCTAGGCTTGCTTTCTCTGGTTAAATCTTCGATTTTACTTGCTTTCTTGCTTTTGTCTTTTTAATTTGCTTAATTTAGTTTAGTTAATTTAGTTTATTATTCATCTTTCGACTGTGTAGGGTGGACTTGATAATAATTGCTAGGATTTAGCGTCTAGGATTAAGTATTAAATATTCTCTATGGGATCAATATCCGGACTTAATTGTCCACTATATTACTTGTTCGATACGTGCACTTGCGTGTAGGTATTATCACCAATAAGTAGCAATATGTTTTTGGTCTAAAACCAATTGACTCATATTTTATAAAGGCATCTTGCAATCTAATATGGACACATAAAAATTATTTTCACCATATAATAATATTACGACACGTGCAACGCACGTGCACCTTGCTAGTAAGAAAAAAAAGAAAGAAAAAAATTATTATTGTAGACATTAGGGTGTGAACGAGCCGAGCTCGCCTCTTTTGGCAGGCTCGAACTCGAGCTCGTCGAGTTCCTTCTTTTTTGGCTTGAGCTCAAGCCCAAGTTCATTTTGTTGGTTTTTTTTAAAAATTTGTATTTTATTATTATTAAAAATTATTTAAAAAATATTTAAACAATATTATAAAATAAGTTATATTTTATTTTTATTTATTTCTATAATATTTTATATTATCATACATTATTTAAATAAAAAATAATATATAAGAAAATAAAAAACTTGCTTGAGCTCACGAACAACTAAAAACTGGCTCGAGCTCGGCTCGTTAGAAAGCTTGAGTCGAGTTCGATCTTTTTTCGAGGCGGCTCATCAACCTCACGAGTCAGCTCGGCTCGTTTACCACCCCTTGTTGACATCCTAAATAAATTAACTGCATTATTAAAAAAATCAAAAAATATAATCAAATATAGCAAGGGGGACAAGAAAGAAAATAAAAGAAGGAAAAGCGAAGAACAAAAAGGATAAATGAAAATGGAAAGCCTTTCAAAGGAATCTATGTATTTAAATGATAAGAAAGACAAGAGTAAAATTTATAGCTAGATTATTAAAAAATATTCTTACCTACATAATCCTAGGTTTTGATATCATTTTTTTCATATAAATTGTTAGAAAACTTTTGACTCATCATATTATATATACTTCTTCCTCCAAATTTCACTCTTCCACCAGGCAAAAACTAAGTCAGTTAACTCAGTTAAGTTGATCAAAAACTCGGGGATCGAACACCCGGTTAGTAAGTTTAAACCAAGAGATAGAACCTGGGGTGTACTTAAGTTGGCGAAACTAACCGGAGTTTCGCCGGGGAAATTGTTGTAAGAAAGGTCCAATTTTTTCAAATTCAAGAATGGCACATAAAAATCCGGCAAGCCGTCGACGAAATGATTGAACGAAAGGTTGAGATTAAATAGACGAGTCACTAGTAATACTCCCGCCAAATTTATTGCCGGAGAGATCGAGATATCCAATGGCAACGGGTCGGTTCTGGATCAGGTTTGCCTAAACCCAATACCCGCCCCAACCCGCTTTAGCTTAGACCCAGACCCGCCCCAACCCAGACCCTAACTAAACGGTTCTGACCCGCCAGACCCGCTAGACCCATTAACATACAGAAAGTTTAATATTTTTTAACTTTCATAACATTTTGCTTGTATATTTTTACGAAATAATATCGATACTAAAATACATTTTTTTTAAATCTCTACAAGTGA